AACATTGTAAGATGTATCTTTGCATTGGAGATGTGTGAGGTTGGAAGCTGAACAGTGATGAGAGGAAATCCAGACAAATAGACAACAAAATGGTGAGGAGTACAGGGGAACGAGTCAATAAAACACAAAATTTGACATGTATACACAAAAAAAGTCTTACACGTTCAGACACAGGAAACGGTGATGAAGGGCTGTGTGGTACTGTCGTAGTTTGTAGAAGAGATTCTTTTAATTACTGCCTATTGATTGAGTGCCAATTTGGTGAGTGTGGTGACATGTGTGTCTGCGTATTTGGGGAGTAGAAGAAAAGCTGTTCAGCAGAAGTTACGAGACTTTCGTAGCAATATTTGATAAAGCAGGAGACTGATCATTAGCCCAGTCCAATACAAAATTATGATGGTGAAAAAAGACAGATTTAATCAACTGTGTAACATTCACTTGATGAAAATAGTACGATCGCTGGATGAGCTTCATTACAAAATAGGAAATAGACTGAGGACCAATGCACGGGCTGCCATTGTGTTCACCTAGAAACTGTCGGACCACCATATTTACTCATCTGTTTACATTTAATCTGTATCTGAGCATATCCGGAGCTAACGCCTAACTGTATTTTTCAGTCTTTTTGGCAGCATAGTCTCATGTGTCAATCAATTGGGGTTGCAATGTCGATTAATAAGATATAATAACGTATATAAAAGCTCTTATCGTTCTACAGTCAGATTGAGCAGTCCAGTTACCTTAAAGAAAAATCAGTTTTAGAGCAAACTTCACCTCTTCACACTGTCCAATGCTCATGCGCACATGCATATACAGAAACGCACACACTCGCAGCGCCCTGCTGAGAAAAATGAACGCGCAGCGGCGCTCCTCACACCGATGCTGGAACTTTTTTCCACACAAAAGAAAGCGAACCACATGACATCGAGATTAAACGAGAAGAAAAAAACACTTGTTAAAATCTGTAAAATAAACATGTACAACTGTATTGATAATGTAGCAATTATTTCCACTTTCATACTTGTAATCAATAAATATATTGTAGCATATAATGTATAAAAGTACAAGGTGTTTAATTGTTTTATAAAGAAATTTAGTAGTTTTATCTGTGGCTACCTGTCTACACTGTACTGAATGGACCGCTGAAAGGCGAGCCCTCTCTACTAAAGGCACAGTCTCAGACACACACACACCAACCAACCAATGTCTTTTTCCGGCTAGTGTCATGCAAGTCCCTTTAAGCAACTTAAGTCTGATCACATTCATACCCTCACCAACACACTCCACCCGGCTTGCTGGAATATCAGTTGGATATTTTTGAAGTACTTCTGCTGCTATTTTGAATTTGTACTATTGCTTACATATCCCTCACTGCTGTTGCTTTATTTCTCTTCTTCATTCTTTTGAGTGCTCTTTGAGATTTATTAAACATTTTTTTTAGATCATGCGATGGAGTTTTAAGGAGTGGAATCTTTTGTAACTGTTGGCAATTGAATGTTTCTCAGTTGTTGTTGTGGTTGTATTTAAAAGTTGTTGTTGTTTTTCCGAATAGTTAGCACCACCAACCTGTACAGTTCTCACCCTGGCAACACTACTGTAAATGTGATGGCAACATTGCAGTGATGTTGCCAAGGGTTTGACATGTTGTCACCACAACACCAGGGTTTCACTGCACCACCCGGTGGCCATTTGAAAAACAGTCTTTATCAAACAGTACGGAGGACCACAGTAGAGGAGGGCTGGTGCAATGCATGCTGGGAGTTCTTGATGGATTCCCTTAATCATTCAGTTCAAGGTTGGGCTGTGTCCCAGTCTATATAAATTGTGCCCAGTTTGTACTTCAGATATACTAAATAATCATCTAGTGGCAATTTATTAAGATGAAAAGGGTAACTTACTGTAAGTATTATTGGGTAAACTAGTTTACAGAAACTGTCGGCTTTGCGTGTCTACATAAACGGTGGCCATATTATGAGTGCCATAATATATTGGTATGGTAAGATACGGTGTACCTTGGAAATCACTGTAGTGCTATATTTGCATTGATATCGTCATGAAATAAATTTTATATGATGAACCTAAAATACATGTGCGAATAACAGTATGTGTGTGTGTGTGTGTGTGAGAGAGCGAGAGAGAGAGAGAGAGGGAATGAAAGAAACTGTTGCAATGTACATGGATTTAATGTCTTCTTGTCCTGCAGACCTCCTTAACATACAATCAATGGAATATCTGCTTGTATATTCTAATGTGGTTATGTTTTATTCATTCCCTTTCTCTTCTTTGAGGAATAGTTCACCGAAAAATGAAAAATTGCTGGAAATGTACACAGCCTCAGGCCATCCAAAATGTAGATTAGTTTGTTGCTTCATCGGAACAGATTTAGAAAACTTAGCATTAAAGGGGTCATATGATGTTGCTAAAAAGAACATTATTTTGTGTATTTGGTGTAATGAAATGTGTTTATGTGGTTTAAAGTTCAAAAAACACATTACTTTCCACATACTGTACATTATTGTTGCTCCTCTATGCCCCGCCTTTCTGAAACGTGTCGATTTTTACAAAGCTCATCGGTCTGAAAAGCGAGGTGTGCTCTGATTGGCCAGCTATCGAGTGCGGTGTGATTGGCCGAATACCTCAAGCGTGTGACGGAAATGTTACGCCCCTTACCATACTGTGATGGAGCGACGAGACAAAAACATTAAAACCCATTATAAACGAGGCATTTGTTGCATCCAGTGGGGACATAATTACGGATTATAATGACTTATACTGTCTTTTTACGTGTTGCATCGCGCCGCGTAAACACAAAACCATGTCTGTATTTGTGATAGGAGAAATGACAAACAAGCGCTACTCTACACTGCTCAAAACTCGCATTTGAATCATCATGCCCCGCCTTTCTGAAACTCGTCGATTTTTACAAAGCTCATCGTTCTGAAAAGCAAGGTGTGCTGTGATTGGCCAGCTATCCAGTGCGTTATGATTGGCCGAATACCTCAAGCGTGTGACGGAAATGTTACATCCCTTACCATATTGTGATGCCGTGTCCCGGCCGGAGCAACGATTCAAAAACATTAAAACCCATTATAAACGAGGCATTTGTTGCATCCAGTGGGGACA